GTGTATATTAAATGGAATGCTTTGCTTTTTCCTATTTTTAGCAAAATCACGATTTTTGCACAAAGTGTTTTCAAGGATTTTATAATCATAAATAAATTTTCTAAAGATGTCTTTGGGTAAAAAAATGCATGAAAAATAAATTTTAAACCCAACGTATGTTTACTTTTTCAATTTCATCTGTCCAGCGAGTCAAAAGAACTTGCATCTTCGGAGAAAGTTAAATTTCGCCAATATTTATTATTTCGTCGTGGAAATATATACTTTATAATTGCCCGATTTCAGTTTAATGTCTTTTATTCAGGGCATTTTACCATAACCTTTGAATAAACGAACTTGCATTCTTGCAAATCTACTGTTTTCTCCCCCAAAAACTTGTATTTGCAAGTTGTTTGCTTTAAAATATTTCAATAATTTTTGAAAGAATTTTTCGCCGATTTCGCAAGCGCCCGCAATTTACTGACCAGCGACAACAAAATTCCCATAAATTCCCATCTGTTGGTTGCAGTGATTGGTTCAGCACAGTCTCTGGGATAAATAGATGAATATAGAATCATTTGACAAAAGTGTGCAAATAGATAATAGCGAGCTTTAAGATGCACCAAATTTACGACGCGAACGCCTCCAGTTGGTAAACAAAGTCAGAGACACAAGTGACGCAAAATAAAACTGGATTCCAAACATTAGCAACGGTTTTTATGACACGTCCGCGTCGTAGATTTGGTGCATCTTAAGCTGCTAAATGCTAATAATCGTCTATCTAGGGGAAACCTAACCCTAATCTAACAGCCGTTCAACGTTGTAACCAATAATCTATCGACGTTGTAATGCCATTGCATGCAATAAAGTATTGGGTTGTAATGGTCTACAGTTACAATAACCCTAATCCAAACGCTATCCTAACCATAATCCTAACCTCTAACCCCTAAGGCCCTAAAGTTGATGACCTTTTTTTTAATAATCTCCCCAACTGCAACCGTAATCTAATCTTAATCTAACTCTAATCTGAATTTGATACTAATCTAAACTTGATAACCCTTTTTTCGAATGATGGAATATTACTTGAAATTTACAGTACATGCGTTTGTTGTCCAGAACAAAGTATAAATATTTGGTTTTTGAGTGATACTGCCATGTGCCCCAACGATCACCGTCAAATTTCAGCATGTCAAAATGTTATTAGGTCAGAAGATGTGCTTTTCTTTCTAGTTTTTGTTAACAGAATGAAAACTCGCCTAAAAAATGAAGTTTTTAACAACATTCTTGACTGTTTTACATTTATTTTGGCCAAAAATGGAGGAATTCCCTTTTATATCGTTGAAAATGGCTTTATATATTGACAATATATATTACTTGCAAAATGTTATTATATTGTCTATATTTATATGTAAAATGATGATATATTACATTACTTATAGTCTTTATAGTATATTTACATTTTAAAATAACTTTTAGTTTTATATATATATAAAACGCACTTTAAAATAATATTTAGTATACTTTAAAATGATATTTTAAAGGATGATTATCAGTAGGAAAATTTTCGTCGTATTAAAAAATGTTTTATATAGTACTAAAACTGTCTGTACCAGTGTAGGTAGTACCAATGTAGAAATGATGTGCTGAGTGGTTATATTACTACCTTAAAAAATAAGCAGAAACTCAAATTTTATATAGTAGCATCCCATGCCCGCAATTTTCGCTTGATTGGATGCAAAAGTATTTGTTATCAACTACAGTATCTTCCATGATATTATATATTGTTGTTTTGGTATATTATCGAAAAATCCTTTCCACAGTTTTAACGGCGTGCGGTCATTTTATAGAGGTTCAGATTTGACTACCACTACCTCTCACTGCATGGCTTAGTACGTATGTGATTGGTTAATCGAATACATCAAACGCATCTGATTGGTTAATCGAATACATCAAACGCATCTGATTGGTTAATTGAATACATCAAACGCATCTGATTGGTTAATCGAATACATCAAACGCATCTGATTGGTTGATTGCCCCTTAATGCAGGTAGCGGTAGCGGTAGTGAAAGTCAAATCTGAACCTCTGTAATGATAAAGCGATTACCGGACATTGCGAGCACTAACCAAGTAATTAACGAGTTTACGACGAGGAAAATGCGAAGATATTAGAGACTTTAAAATTGACGTTTACGGCAAACTTCAAATCGTATTTTGAGCTCAACTGTTAGCTGTTCGAAGTTAAGGCAATTTGTGCATAAAATTGAAGCATGGATTAGCTATTTCGCTGTTGAAAACTTGTAGAACTGTTTAAAACATGTAGACTGTAGCAGTTCGCAGTTAGCCGTAAACGTTTACACTGTCAACGTTTCTGTGATCAGAGTATATTAAGCTGGAGTAATACGAGCAACTTGCAACAAAATCTGATTTCTACGCATGTTAATTGAAAATGTTTACACATAAATTACAAATCACGAGGCAACACGTGTCAACATTTCTACTTAACATGCGTTGAAATCAGATTTTGTTGCAAGTTGCAGCAATTTCGTTGCCCGTATTACTCCACCTTAAATTCCACGTTTTGAAGGATTTGTAAGAAATGTTTGAGGCAACTTACAAAGTGTTTAACACTGAATCAGTTCCCTCGCATATTTCTTACAAATCCTTCAAAACTTTACAGAATTTACCTAATGCAAAATTCCTACTATACGATCACAGAAACTTTGCATGATAACAGCTCGAAGCATCTTCGAATCAGGTTCATTGTTCTTATATAGTCATTAGAATCAAAATTCCTTGATTAGAATCGTATTCAATATCGAAATCCTCTTCTAATCAGCATTTGTCCTCTGATCTCGGCCTCATTCATGGTTTATTTTTACTGTGTATAGTAGCGTACACACGCAACTGTACTCACCATTAATCATATACAGTATACTTGATCGAGTGTTTTCCATTTTGTGTGTGTCACCTCTTCTTATTCGACTTATTGGCAGATCCTGGGTTAAAATTAAACACCATATTTATATCAATTATATGTGGGATAACCCCAGTAAACACGAAGCTCTAGGAAGATGTTCTGTGACTGGTTGATTGTAACAACGACAGAAGACGTAATTGGCTTACATAAACAAAAGGAATATTGTTCTTGCTTCGTTCTAGAGAAAATCCATTCTATAGCTTATTCTTTTGTCATTGTCATAATCAACCAATCACAGAACATGTTCCTAGAGCTTCGTGCCGACCCGATAACCTAGGGAGCTGTTTGCTAGGTCTAAAAATGGAGCAGGGAGCTGGTTACATGGTAAAAACAAACTGATTTAAACAACCAAATGTCTCAAAAAAAAAACTGGACACTGTTTGATTACATGTAATGCAAAAACTATAAAAGCTATCGCAATGAAATAAAGATCATTGCATTCAGAAAGGACTAACTTAGCTGCACGGATTAAGTGCATATAGTCATGAATAAGTGGGGTTAAAAACAAGCCAGATATTTAGCTCAACATTTCCGGTATAATTTACGTTTCCATGATGCACTTTCAAAAACTGCGCCGGATAAACGCTACGACTATACCAAATTTTATTTGTTTTTTAAAAAGTCATCGTGAGGACTACGAGATCTCTCCAAAATTTCGTACTCAGATGGGCGACGGCTACGACTTTTTCACGTCAGTACGGGACGGCGTACTGTAAGTATACAGCGTGCGTTTCGCTTGACGAATCTCGTACTCGTAGTCGCTACTAAAGCTCAGTAACGTCACTACCTACCGTAGCACAGACCGTTCGAGTTCAATGCCGAGTGGAAATTCCAGTTAAATATAGCGAAAATCAAAATCCCGTAACTCACATCTTGAATGTCCAAACATGCATGCATAATTCGACAAATTTGAGCATGACGATTTCAATTCTGGGCTCTTTTCGGCCATAGCCTATCGAAGGGAAGATGGCTGTGAAACTCATTAGAATAACAATATAACTCATTATCTATGTTGGTCAACGTTTATTCATAAATCTGGTCGTTTCACCGTCACGTGTGTATTGTATTCTTACCAAATCCACCAATAGCAATTTCCAGTTTCCCTACTGTTCGAGTCACGGATAGGTGACTTTCCTAAAACATTGCTATTGGTTAGTTGGGCAAGAATGCAATACACACGTGACGGTGAAACGACCAGATTCATGAATAAACGTTGACAAACATAGATAATGAGTTATATTGTTATTCTAATGAGTTTCACAGCCATCTTCCCTTCGATAGGCTATGTTTCGGCCAAACATGAAGATGAAATATCGATAACGCGAACTCGGATCGGAGAATTTCTATAGTTGAGAAACGTACCTGGTCTGCCTGAGGATTTCGGGGGAGGTGGAGAGATAGAACGGGTCAATGGTGGGATAGACGTGGATCCAGGTTTTGGAGAGTGATTACGGGAGTCATGTGATCGACGTAGTTTGTTTCTGGTCCCAAAAACCTCACTTTGTGACAGAGCACTGAAAAAATGGAAAAAAATAACGTTCGATAATTGTCTGGAAAATATGACCGACCAACATGAATTATGATCGGAAACTTCTAATTTGGTCGAACATTTCTCCAATCCCGGCGTCCATTGGCGTAACATCCCCTGGGCTCTGAGCAGTGAACTCTAAGAGAACTGGAACGATAACTTGCCCGCCATCTTTGAAGCCACTAATAACGGCGTGTTGACAAACTTGCTGCAAAGTTAATGACTCAACAGACTTATTACAAGTTGTTCCATCAACTTGTTATCGTCCTGCAATTAGACAACTTGCTAACAAGTAAGTTGAGGTCGGAATCTTGTAACAACTAACAGTAGCAATATTGTCACTGTTACAATTTGTTGACAAGCTTGCACAAGTCTGTTGCGAGCACATCTTGTTGCCAAGATGTTAGATTTTACGTGTATCTTTGGTTGTGCTTTTTACGAGATATATCAAATAATACATACTTGTTTTGGAACAGTTTTTCCACCTTGGCCTCCTGTTCAGCAGCATAATTCTTCTGCTAAATAAAAGAAAATTTATCCTAGTTAACACATAAACTACAACAGATAACAATGATAATAATATACATTAAAACAATTACTCGATTCTGATTGACTGCGGAGTACACTTTTATCGAAATACAGTGCCAAAAAAGAATACAATGCCAAAAAAGAAATACTAAGACCAGCATTCCTCGCAGGCATTAATACTTGTGACGTCATTATGCATAAGGTCTATTCTCCCATGCGTATTATCAATAAGTATAACAGTATCAGGTTTCTCGTGCAATTTGGAAAAACGTGAGTTTTTCAAAGACGTTCGACGTCAATGAGTTTTTCAAAGACGTTAAACGTCAATGCACTTGTTCTTCGGACTCGTGCAATTTTTATCGTCTTTTTATCGTGCAATTTTTATCGAAAAGATTTTCCAAATTGCATTCGAAATCATACTATTACCTAGTATACTACAAAGTATACTATAATTATAATAATATATCAATTTTTATTTGGACACCAAAACGAGATTACTTTGGGCAAAATAAATATCTCTAATAAACTCTAATTTATTATTAACTAGTATTTCTTCAAACACTCATTTATTCATAAGCTTATTGGCAAATCATGTCAACCATAATATGTCACGTGCAGTGGCTTTAACCTGATAAAACACTCCTAATTAGTATTCTTTATATAAAGAATACTAATAAGGCAGTATCTATTGTAGTCGTGTCCTCATTGGTACTCTTTATATAAAGAATACTAATAAGGCAGTATATCTATTGAATTTGTAGTCGTGTTTGAAGCCGTTTAATAAACTCGCAGGTCGTGTTTTATTAGGTCTAAAGCCACTCGCGCTGCGCGCTCGTGTCTTTAAACCTAATAAAACACTCCTACTCGTTTATTAAACAGTACTTTAAATATCCGAAGCAAGGACATGCAACATACCACTTTCAGGTCTTCTTGGCTTTGAGAAGTTTCTTAAAAGTAAAACAAAACAATTAAAGTAACTTAGAAGTACCTGTACGTTTGACCTCAGGGCTGCAGGTTCAATTCCTGCCAGAGACCTAAAGTTTGCATTTCTCGCAGCTGTTCCTGGTTAGGTCCTAATAAAATGTATATAAATTTCCACTCGACAAATTCCATCAACAACACCCTTCAACTATTGAATCGAGTAAGATGCCAACAAAAATCTTGATATCTAGCTGTCTAGTTTCAAAATTCTTTAAGAGGTAATTTTTTTCAATGTCACGTATTTGCAATGAAAAGTGTTCAAAACCTAAAATCTTTTTGGCGTCCCTCTCAAAATTACTTTGTTTTAGCTTTACTCTCTAGTTTATACAGTTAGGTACCTTTTTAAATGCATCTGCCGGTTGAGAAACATAAAATAATAGTTAAAAATTGTTAATTTAAACACAATTATCAATGCTTTAAAATTGGTGCCATATTTATAGTCATATAAGCAAAACTTACTGAACTTCAGACGTCATTTTCTCTTTGGCGTATCATCTAAAATCTCTTCATTTTAACATTATTTTACCGATAAAGCACTAAACAAAATGTTTAAGTTTGTTTGCCGATTGGGAAACGTATCGAAAAATAAAAATTTTGAATTTAGTCATAACCTCAAATGATATATTATACGCATTAGTTTTGAGCGCGTGTTACGCAACATACAAAAAAATCTCCTCTTAAATAAAAAATAAAAGCCAGAGTATCATGCAGATGGGGTTTTGTAGACGAAAATTTCAAGTGTGAATTTTATAGACTTCTTAGATCTAACAAGGAGCAGTTGCGAAAAATGCAACTACAGGCCCGCTAATTTCAATGGGTCAGACAGACATTTGTGTCAGGCCCTCTTCCCTTCCATCCATCAGCATTTAAGGAAGGAAAAAAAGGGCCTGATACTCAGGCTAAGCTGTCTATATACCTTTTGCTGCATCTGATTTAGCCGAGTTTGGTCTACTTGAGTTTGGTCTACTTGAGTTTAGTCTGGCAGAATTTGGTCTTCCTGAGTTAGGTCTAGACGAGACACGAGATCGGCTTGTCATTGGTGGTGAGATACTCTCTGGTATTTGACCAAGAACTGTTGTAGTAGGTCGAGGAAAATGATCTGAAAATATAAACGTCTAAAGTTATTTTTAACCGCAGAGTCGGCGGCCGACAGCCGGGGTAACCGCACCTCCCCTAATAGAGGACGTCAGTGGCACAATCCTCAGAGCCAGTGCCTTTCACCACTGTGGTCGTGGATTCGATTCTTGGTGCGGACTCATGACACTTCTGTGAAGAGATTCAGTCAACGCTCTTCTGAAAGTCGTGGGTTTTCTCTGGGTACTCCTGTTTCCTCCCACAGGGAAAGTTGACAGGATGGGTTGGGATAACCCCCAAACTGACCCTTCCACCGTAGCTGTGTGCATGCAGTGATGAGACACGAGTCATGGCCCTTAGAATACCTTCGCCTCAATCAGCTCCACTCACGTCCCTTACACTACTGATAGATCGGTTGCACAGTTGCTAACTTACCAAATTTGTTGTCGGCTACTCTGCCACCGGGAGTAACAGGTCGACTGAGTGGTTGATCAAGACTTGATAACAGGTGATTCTAACAAAAAATTCAGCGAAAGACATTAGGCATGATGAGGACATAAGCGAGGTTCAGATTTGACTTACACTATCACTATACACCTCTACCATTAATGGACTATTCCCCCAATCAGATGCGTACTAACTCTACTAAGCCAAGGAGAGGTAGTGGAATTCAAATATGAACCTCACTTTTGCTGTAGATCATAGTCAATAGAATAATATGGTTAGGGAACTCGATGCAGACATAATAGACCTCATTATCTATGTTTTTGTCTTGGTTTATGCCAGAATGGTCGGTTCATGTCACTTGTGTATTGTTTTTTTTTTTTTCGCCCAACCAGCCAATAGCAGTGTGTTCATTGAATTACCCAGTCATGATATTACAAAAATGTTAAATGAAAACATAGCTATTGGTTGGTTGGGCGAAAATAGAACACACGTGACGATGAATCGACCATTTCTTGCATGAACAAAGACAAAGATAACGAAGATAACGAGGTCTATTATATCTGCATCGAGTTCACTAACCTTCTTATTCTATTAACTATGTGTAGTCTAGACTTGGATCAAGTCCGTCTCTCTAGAGTAGAGTCGCGAAGCGACGAGATCCAGGTGCATGAAAGGAGGGCGAGACGTCTCTCCCTCAAACTTTCCTGCGTTATTGCACCTCGTGCTCTCCCTCGGACTCTAGAGAGACGGACTTGATCCAAGTCTATGTGTAGACATACATGGAGACCTACGACAACTGTAACTCATTTCTGTTATTAACCATAAGATAATGAAATGAACTCACTTTTCTTGACTGCCGTACGAAATTAGTGGAGTCAGCAGGACGCTAAAAACAAATAATAAATTATATAATATTTTTATTACGAAGGACCCTGTGGAAAATAGCACTGCAGTGCAAAATTTGAAATTTTTTATCCTACTTGACTGAGATATCAAACAGTGGCAACTAAAGGCCTGTTCATATGGGCCTAGCGTACTGGGAATCTCAGCTGGGTGAGGTCCGCACGTCATTGTTAATGCATATAAAAATCACTGGGTGTTCATATGAGAAGCCAGTCCGACTAAATATGTTCCATATGTGAACGCCTCATCCAACCTGACCGTTAATATTGAGCAGCGTATTTGGAAAATATAAACAAGGAAATAAACGTTAACAGACCTGGACGAACACCTTTTAAGGTGTTAAAAAAGTCGTAATACAACGTACAGTTTGTTCAATCACAACAAAAGATATTTTGAAGGCGCCATGTTTTTCAGGCCACCGAGGAAGAATTTTAGGTGGGATAAAACTAGTCATATGAACACAGAAAGAATTCATCTCACTTGGATGAGCATCCCGGGCAATCAGGCTCATATAAACAGGTCCTAAATACAAGTGAGAAGGATAATTTGCTTCCTCCTATAATAAGTGTTAATACTTCTGCCGTTTAAACTCCAATACTGATGTTGCCCACTATTGGCTGCCTAACCTAAGTACTGTATCAGGCTTTGTTTTACAAATAATGCCTGACACAAACTTTCGCCTGCATGACCCCTCCCCACCCTATAAGTAAATGTCATGTTTAGTATCCAATCAAAATGTCCCAGGGAAATTGTCAATATCGCTTAATAATGACAACAATCTCATTATAGCCCCAACTGCTAAATATATAATAACACTAACGTGTAATCAGTATTGTATTAACCAATGAAAAAGAGACATTAAATTTTCTTTGTCTGTTGGACCACCAGGCGAAAGGACGGGTTTGTTTTTTTTGCATGCGGCCAGGTAACGATTTGCATCAGGCATTCTTTGCCTTCCCTCCACCCGCATTCAAGGAAGGGAAAATGGCCGGATACTCAGGCGATTTGCTGCCTGTGAAGCATACTATTATAAGCAGCAGCAGTACAATTAGAATATCTTGCGCAAGTACTTACAATCACGTATTCCTTCTCCAACAGGTCTTCGCCAGCTAACTCATTAGATCCTGGTTCAAGTATTTCCTGTTTATCCAGTTCTTCATCGATGGCGTCACCTTCCTACAGCCAAAAAAAATATATTGGTTAACCACAGCCCCTGCCTGACATCATGCAGGGCCTGTTTCAACCATATGCTTTCAACATACTGGGGAGGAGGGCAAGTACCCCATCCAGCCCCACTGTGAACGATATTGGCTCCCCAGACCCAGTGAAGGGTCTTTCTGTGGAAAAAGCTAGGTCCCTTTATAATTCGGCCCGGAAACATGAGCGAGCTCCCTAAATTAACCTCTGGAGCGGGTTGTACAAAACTCTTCACTTTAAAATTTTAATGACTGTTAGGTCATTTACTTGGTACAGAAAATACATTAATACATTAAATATACATCTATAACCATAGATGTTACTAAAGTTATAACATCTCTACAGTACCTCATCAATATCGTCGTCTTCATCATCGGAGTCAGCATCGTAACTGATCGGCGATTCATCGGAACCTTGAAAACGAGAAGAAAAAATGTTAAGTTAATGATAAAATAGAAATCTTTAACTTTCAAATAATTAGCTTTGTTTCCAGTTTATAGTGAAACTGAGCCGAGACTAATTCTTCTTCGTCCAAAAGTTTTGTCTTCCGCTCTAATTTTAATTTTCAGTAAAGGTTTAAAAATCATTCAATATGGTGGAGTTATAAGGGCACGCAAGTGGAGACATGATTCGTGACCAAGTACGTATTCTATATTTATTATTTCTATGAAAATTACCCTTATCTTATACTTACCGAGATTTAGTTGTTTGATGATGAACTGAACTTGTCTTTGCATGTCAACATCTTCGTCTTTAAGAAAACATTCCAGAATTTCTTGCATTCCCTGAAATATATTGTGTAGAGCATAATTATATCGATTATTTCAAACCCAGGTATCTACAATATTACAAAGACTTTGGCAAGATTTATACTACATCATCCGCCAAAACCAACTACGCACATGCACGCGTTCGTCTGAGTATCACGGGCGGATCTAACCTCGAGGGTAGACGTTTTCCAGTGGGGGGTGCATTGCTACGAGAGTCCGTAATTTGAAGCCTTAAAATGCCATTTCTCGCATTCTGAGCACTACTCGTTACATTTTATTCGTTTAAAATTGTCCTCACGGTACTTGTATTTCAAGCAAAAATTAAGAAAGTTAATATTTCATGTTCTACACCGGTAAAAGAGATAAAAAGGAAAAAGTCGTGGGTTCTCTGCCGAAAGTCGTGGGTTTTCTCCGAGTGCTCCGGTTTCCTCCCACAGGACAAGTTGGCAGGGGGTGGGTTAGGATAAACACAGTTAGGAAAGTAATATCTCAATTGTTGTATAAAAGATAAATAGTCTAGGCTAAGTAACATGAGCGTAGTACTGGATGTAATCGGTCACTGAAAAGCCCCAATAGGGAGTGAGCTGAATAATAATGTAATGTAATATATGATTCGTTATGTATATCGCGGTATACTGATTGATCCTTGCAAAAATTAATGTTCTCAACCTATAACATGGTTTACATTTTTTACGTTATATATATATGGTACAGCGACCCGCCGTATTGGTGCTTGAATATGTTCTCGTGTACTGGAAAATCAGTCGTTTCAATATAATAAGTAGTATTCTGGAAATCTAAACTTAACATGGAATACCAGAGTTTCTTCAAGGGGGTGCTGGACACCAGTAGGTGGGATGCGCTCGGCTCTGCACCCTCCCCTCGGTAGATCCGCTTATGCCGAGTATGGAGATATTTCGTCTTGACGGACGGTCCGTCTGTTTGTCGCGTTAACACACAAACGAGTTTTACACGATTTTCTTGTCTGACGTTCGTCTACACATCTTTTAATCAGGCCTTTTATATAAAGAGTGTTTCAAATTTGACCCTTCTAAACACAGCACGTTTCTCGTGTAAATCGGGAAAACATTTCCACAATATACAATGAAGATTTTTACCATAGCCCTCGCTTCCTCTCGCACGTTTGGCAAAGCCAGAATGCTGTAAAGTGACCCATTCACGTAAGGACGAATCTATAAAATGAAATAACTTAAGTTATAGTAGTATGACAGGTCTATATGCTGTAGAGCACCTTAAAAAGCAGTGCTGGCTGTCCCCAGCGCCAGCAACATGCACTGACTGCTGTCTGGAAATCTTTAACAAAACACATAATACCAATGTGATATATTGGAATTATGACATATCATTACTTGGTTAATACAGGTTAATTAAGAAGTTTTCATTTTTGGATTTTGATGCCAGAAGAAACTTTTTCCTAGGCCACTGGAAAAAATCATTACAAAAATCAAAACATCCATACCTCCTGATTTTCGTGGCCCAAGAGGTCGCTCAAAACCCGCAAAATATGGCTGGCATCATTCGCACATTTCTGCTTTCCTAACGAAAAGAAATCAAGCACTGTCTTTTATTTTTTCTAGTTTCTCATTCCCCAACTTAACAGAACTAACTACTTTCAATAAAGCAAATAACAAAAACCTAAAATGACTAACTTTAGTGGCGGGAATTCGATAAAATAAACTTTGAACTACTGTAAGGTTAAAATCTCAGTCGCTATTGGTCGGTTGTCATAATCAAATAAGGAAGTAAACGTTAAATGGTTTATTTCCATTGGCCAGCCTCTCGTTTTTGTGGCATTTAAGCTCCTCTCGACTTTTCCAGCCAATTTCTCCACTTTTCCCGCCAATTTATCTAATTTCCCGCCAATCTCTCCACTTTTCCCGCCAATTTCACCGTGGTGGAATAATTCGTCACAAAACGATAGACTTCATTAGACTACAGCATTACCTGAAGTTCTTAAACACAAATTCATCATTAAAGCGACGGAATATTCCAATGTATAGTCAGATAGTGAATCGTGTTCTTCTAATACATCAATAAGCCACGATATTAGATCACTTTCGATCATCACGGTCTGAAGTTGACGTCTAAATCAATGTGAGGATAATGGATTTAACCTCACAATCACATTAATCAATGATAAAGTTCTACGACTGGATGACATTTAATGTAGTAGATAGGTTTGATCAAGCTCTGGAACTGGATAAAGTTTTGATCAAGTCCTAGAACTGGATAAATTTTTGACCAAATCCTAGAACTGGATAAAGTTTTGACCAGTCCTAGAACTGGATAAAGCTTCGACTCTTTCTTAGAACTAGATAAAGTTTTAATCAAGTCCTAAGGTTGGATGAAGTTTTGACCGCATGATACAGTAGAACTAGAAAATGTTTTGATCATGCAAGCCCTATGAATGAATGAAGTTCGATCAAGCCCTACAGCTGAATAATTTTGATAACTCCTAGGACTGGATCACTATAACTCCCAATTGAAAGCGTTTGTACTGTATGTAAGATCACCTCACCTTAAACTCAGTTTTTGTAAACATCCAAGAATATTTTCACTCGTGAGGGAATCTTTTGGTTCCGTTGTCAATGTCTTCTGTAATGCTTCAACTAACTTTACGCTTTGGGACAAATAACTCCTGCCTTAAATAGAAAGATTGTAAAAACATAGGAACAAATCTTCAAATTAAACAAGGACAAATTAACCTGAGTATCAGGGCACGCGCAGTTAAGGAAGAGAAAAAATGACCTGATACTCAGGGTAAGGGCGAATGCCGAATGGACTACATTTGCCGAAGCCCGTGACGTATGCTCCAGATTTTTACTCAGCTAGCTATTAGCGAGCATCGAGAATTTAATCTAGAAGATGAATTTTGATACTATATGATTATTAAAATTGGTCCAATAGAAACAATGTCATGGCTGTTTAAAGTTTGTGGCCATCAGACCTATATTGATACGTAACACAACTGATGTATTCATGATTTCAATGGTCCATTGGATAAACCAGACTTCTTTTTAAACAGCATAACTTGGTTCTACCTGACCAATGTTAATAATTAAAGTGTCGAAATTCATCTCCTGGATTAAGTTTTCTATATATGCCCACTAATAATTAGCTGTGTAAAAATCTGGAACATATACCAATTGCATTTCTTTTCGGGACACCCTGTATATTTGTGCTGAGATCCTGGTCATTATGGATTTATGGCACATGCCCATTTCCTATGCTAGGGGAATGGAGTGAAGTAGTGCAGTATGTGAGATAGAGCTATCCATGGCCGAATCTTCAGAGATTTTCGGCTTATTTTAATGACTTACCAGCAGACATAGATGCCATGGTGTTTAGCAATCTGGCAAAGTATTGACACACAACAGCACTGGAGGACTGCAGGAACTCGATTAACGTGTCCTAGAAAAGTTATGTACAACTATTTAAGAGGATAATTTTTGTATGTTACGTACTGTAACACGCGCTCAAAACTAACGAACATACTTTTTCCACTTGGTTATGACAATATATTATATATTCAATGTTACACAAAAAGTTTCTTATGAAGCGTAGACCCTAAGCAACTAAAAAATGTCAAATTTTCACTTTGATCTATCATTGAAACTTCCCATGCAAGGGGAGGTGCATCAGTCACTTTTCAGGGGAGGTGCAAAAATTCTCAGGGGAGGTGCAAAACGATCTCAGGGGAGGTGCGCACCTCCCCCACACCTCCCCTCAAAATCCGGCCATGATTCTTAATTAAACTAAGTTTTGAAGTTTTGAATTTGGAGCTAGCCCCCTAATGCTATAAAGATAGCGTCGATCCATGGCTCCTAACTTCTGCAGCTATGTATCCACTGGTTTGCGTGCACCATATAGTCAATAGAATAATAATTAATGAAACTCGACATAATAGATCTCGTTATCTATGTATTTGTCTTGGTTTATGCAAAGAATTGTCGGTTCATCGTCACGTGTCTATTGTTTTTTGCCCAACCACCCAATAGCAGTACGTTTAATTACCCAGTCATGATATTACACAATGGTTAAATGAAAACATACTAAAAATGTCTGTACCAGTGTTGGTAGTACCAATGTGAAAATGCTGTGCTGAGTGGTTATATTACTACCTTAAAAAACAAGCAAAAACTCGACGTTTCGAGCGAAGGCCCTTCGTCAAGAGTTAGTATCTATTGCTCTAGCGAATATCTATTGCTCTATCGAAAAAAATTAAATACACAAGTGACATGAACCGACCATTCGTTGCATAAACCAAGACAAAAACACAGATAATGAGGTCTATTATGTTTGCATCAAGTTTCCTAACCTTCTTATTCTATTGATTATGCATGCACAGTAAATACCTGATATTCGCCTGGAAAAGCACAGCCAAGTAAATCATTGCCAATGTAAGCTCTCATTGTTGAGTTTCTGAACTCATCTCCTCCACTACGAGTAAGTCGCTTAACATAGAAACAAAAACATAAACTAAACTCTCTGTTGAAAGGGGCGTATATATCATAAGGAAGAGTATCTGCACAGGGCTGCACTTCCAGTCTATGACACAGAACAGTTTAGAACAGATGGAGCTATCCATCATATTATATATTAAATAAAGTTAGTTCAGTTAAGTTTTGATCTGCGATAGTACTGGGAGGTTCAGATTTTTTCAACAGAGAAATTCAGATTTTGACTTCCACTACCACAAAAACTATTAACCAATCAGATGCATTTAATCTTCCCGATTAGCCAATCAAATGCGTATTCAGCCTTTGAGAGGTAGCGATAATGGTAGTGAAAGTTAGATCTTAATTTTCCTCATGTACTTTATGTAATCATTGATCCTCTACTTGAAACTGTCCTTTTTATCTTTTAAATTTTAACTCTTGCATAACACTTTATCTCAATTACGCTAGTGACTAGAAATACAACACCTTGTCTATATCCTCCAAACATTTGATTTAACATGAAGTATCAGTAATTGGGCAACACTCAACGCAGGCTCGCGTTGTGCGTCAAGTGTTGCCATAGTAAGTTCCGATGGCTTGGTGGTTCCACTTTCAACATAAAGTACTGTACATTCTAAATAATATTTCTTTCAATGGCTGACTCCAGCTATAGGCTAAATTTTGATCAAGGCAAGAAGAACGAAATCCAACACCACAGCTAGAAAGACCGTCTTAGGCTATGTGCACACGGGCGTCGTTTTCGAGCGTTTTCAAAAACGTTTTTGCCCCTTTAATTGTTTTGTTGTTATTGACTTGTTCACACGGTCCAAAGAAAAACATCTCCAATATATTAAATAAACTACAGCTTCTGTCGTAAATTGATAGTGTTTGCATCCGTTTTAGCGTGAAAACACAAATGAAAACGCTCGAAAACGTTACCGTGTGCACATAGTCTTAGAATGCAAAGATTGGTTGGTAAATGTTGTAAAATGAAGAAAATATAGCCCCTGTGAAGTGCGCAAATTTTGTGTATATTTGTATATATTACGCGAGGTAAAAATAATCGGCTCAAAAATGGTTATTTTTCACGCGCGTAATACAAATAATTATATACAAAATTTGCGAACATCGCAGGGCTATATTTTCCTCATTTTACAACAATTCGCAACCAAACGTTGCAATTTTATTCATTTTAAGATGTTCTTTCCAGCTATGGTAATGGTTTCGTTCTTGTCTAGATCAAAACCACAGGTTTCAAAGACATTTGAATCTTTGTTGAAAACACATGTATGGCGGTAAAATTATTTCAATTGTTTACTAACCCATCTCAAAGCTTGCAGTAAAAATCCTTTTTTTCGTTCAGGGAGGTTTGTCAAATCATTCTTAATCTTTTCAAAGTCCAACGGTTGATTATTAATGTTCTCCAGACTACTACAGTTCCATAAAACAAAAATATTAACATGTAAAATAATTAACATAGTTTCTCTGGGAAAAGATAAAAATAAATTATTAATGCAAACAAAAAATATCAGGCTTCCCAAAAAATTATTTTTTGTTCTTCACAAGCAATGTACGGGAATGACATGAACTTGTTGTGTTAATAAAAATGTCAAACCATGCACTCGTTGGAAAATTAATTTCAGAATTTTCACATGGATTGATAGGGATGTGCCGGATACCGTTTAGCCGGATACTGGATGGTACTGGATAGTGGTCTACCATGCAGATACCAGTCAGGGGGGAATGGTAACCGGTAATGGCGGTACTTGGACAATACTTCACCATTTTCCCCCATAATATATAGTCCATTGTTTTAGTATATGCTTTCTTTTTATTGAATAAGCATAAATATCTGTGACACAGACGTTGGCGGCAAGGTATAGCAGAGTGCAGAGTCACATCACAAAAAATTTTCTGCATGTCCAGTAATGATGGTTCCTGTTCCACAATTTTTTAATGCATAAAAATTGTTTTTGGTTTTATATACGGTAGTTCTAACAATCCAGTATTATTGAACCCAATGTCTCAAATTTAACCTACTACCGTAGCAAGCGTATATCTAGCTGGCTTACCTTAAACTGGCCTTTGCAATTGAAGCTCGCAGCATATTTGAAGTCTACAAGGAAAGCAAAATGGCCACTTATTAAAGTGAGCCATGCTCACAAATAAAGTGAATGCATGAAATTCAAAGACATTAAATAAATTAATAATATAGCTGAAAAACCTACTCAATTCTGATTAGCTAAGAGCAGCGCAATTATTTTTGCGGTGCAATTAACAAAACACGAGCAGAGCCTGGCAACGAGGCTGGAAAATCAACATGGCGACGTCAGATGGTAATAATATAAATTTTCACTATTTTGACGACTTTTTGCACACTTTCAATGGAAAATCGTACGTGAATATAACAATTTAAGTACAAGGAACACATAAACTGAAAAGTTTTGCTAACAAACAATAAAAATAATGCTGAAATGGCGTGAGTACACAGGTGTTATCGAAGCGTGTAAACTTTTTTATGTATATTATTAACATTTAACAAGTATAGTATGGTTTTTCGTGCAGTTTGGAGAAACAAACACTCGTTCAATGATCAAACAAGACTTCAATGATCGTATTGACTGATCAGTCTTTGAGAAACTCACACGTGCATGTTTTTTTTTCCAAATTGCACTCGAAACCATACTATTACAGTATCTATTGCCGATACATTAATATCAATAAACAGATTGTCTTACCGTTCCAGGTTTCGTGATATCCATAGACTGCTGCATGGGAGCACTGAACAACCGCGCACATAAATCTTGAATATACTCCGAGGAGATCTAAAAAGAACATTTCATATCAGTTGCATGTAAAAGGTTTTGATGAAGTCCTAGAACTGGATGAAGTTTTGATCGAGTCCTAGAATCCTAGAACTGGATGAAGAAGTTTCGATGAAGTCCTATAGAACTGAATGAAGTTTTGATGAAGTCCTAGAGCTGGAGGAAGTTTTGATCAAGTCCTATAGAACTGGACGAAGTTTTGATCAAGTTCTAAACTTGGATGAAGTTTTGATGAAGTCCTAGAACAGGATGACGTTTTTATCAAGTCCTAGAACTGGATGAAAAGTTTCGATGAAGTCCTATAGAACTGAATGAAGTATTGATGAAGTTCTAGAACTGGATGAAGTTTTGATCAAGTCCTAGAATCCTAGAACTGGATGAAGAAGTTTCGATGAAGTCCTATAGAACTGAATGAAGTTTTGATGAAGTCCTAGAGCTGGAGGAAGTTTTGATCAAGTCCTATAGAACTGGACGAAGTTTTGATCAAGTTCTAAACTTGGATGAAGTTTTGATGAAGTCCTAGAACAGGATGACGTTTTTATCAAGTCCTAGAACTGGATGAAAAGTTTCGATGAAGTCCTATAGAACTGAATGAAGTATTGATGAAGTTCTAGAACTGGATGAAGTTTTGATCAAGTCCTAGAATCCTAGAACTGGATGAAGAAGTTTCGATGAAGTCCTATAGAACTGAATGAAGTTTTGATGAAGTCCTAGAGCTGGAGGAAGTTTTGATCAAGTCCTATAGAACTGGACGAAGTTTTGATCAAGTTCTAAACTTGGATGAAGTTTTGATGAAGTCCTAGAACAGGATGACGTTTTTATCAAGTCCTAGAACTGGATGAAAAGTTTCGATGAAGTCCTATAGAACTGAATGAAGTATTGATGAAGTTCTAGAACTGGATGAAGTTTTGATCAAGTCCTAGAATCCTAGAACTGGATGAAGAAGTTTCGATGAAGTCCTATAGAACTGAATGAAGTTTTGATGAAGTCCTAGAGCTGGAGGAAGTTTTGATCAAGTCCTATAGAACTGGACGAAGTTTTGATCAAGTTCTAAACCTGGATGAAGTTTTGATGAAGTCCTAGAACTGGATGACGTTTTTATCAAGTCCTAGAACTGGATGAAAAGTTTCGATGAAGTCCTATAGAACTGAATGAAGTATTGATGAAGTCCTAGAGCTGGATGAAGTTTTGATCAAGTCCTAAAACTGGATGAAGTTTTGATCAAGTCCTAGAACTGGATGACGTTTTGATCAAGTCCTAGAACTGAATGAAGTTTTTATGAAGCCTTAGAACTGGGTAAGTATCAGAGACCTGGAGAAATTATGCTTCAGCCTACCATTTTTCCTCGTATCGTATCTTCCAAGGAGTCTACCAGTTCTGCCGCAATACCAATCAACTTGTGATAATCACCCTAAAATAATATTGTAGGAATATGCGAATAATGTACAGGTAAAACTACAGAAGACACGCTAACGAATAATAGACGAGGCCTTAACCAAGGTTTTTCTTTTACGATTCTTTTATGAATCACAATATAGATCCAGTGGTTCAATGCCACTGTATACAACAGAAAAAATCAGAGAAGACCTGTGGTTTTTGGTCGAACAAAACCCTACGAAGGTCATAAACAGTTTTCATACCATTTTTCCAGCTAATCCCAGTTTTTTTCTAACGGATCATATAGCTTATTTATCAGTTCGTAAAACCATAATATTATTCTTTACATCGAAGACAAAACACGAAATTTTAGTATAGTTCCCGCAGCCTTTTGTTAACCGCGCACACAAAAATAATAGAAAGAGACTGGCATTCAACGTCAATTTCTGCCATTTCAAGGTTCACTTTTTGGCAGGGGTGGAAAAAAAAAATTAATAGCTGGGACCGCAAGAGAACATCGAAAATGTTCTGCAAATAATCAAGTAAATAGGCAATTCCAGCTTTTAGTTTATGCGTGCAGGGGATGATGGGGCACGGAGTGATAGCTTATACTTGTAAATATTGAAATATTTCGGTTGTTTCGGCAGTTTTTATTGAAATTTTTCAGCATAATCAGCAATGTGATACCTTACTTCCCATCATCCCCTGCACGCACAAACTAAAAGCTGTAATTGCCTATTGACACTCGGACACTGTAATTGTGTGACACTAACAAATGCTGGTGCGGTATTTGAAAGAAAATGGAAACCGATACCGGAAAAGAAATACCGATATTTTTTCGCGATTGTATTTTGCTTACTTTTTTATGCAAATTTTCTGTTTTCAAATGACGCCAAAAAGCCGCGATATAACAAGAAAAATGTCCGCTTTGGGAATTGAAAATGCGTATGTTTGCATTGATTAGCCGCACTCAGAATGAATGTGTTATACTTTTGGCCCGGAAATTTGTTTAAACGTGATATCGAATAATACCGAGAAATATCGATATTCCGATATATCGAAAATTTCAATATCGAATAATCGGTATTTATATAAGACCGATAATTATCGGTATATCGATATACCGCAACGGCCTACAAACAATTTGCCAAACTGGGGCCGGTTGTATAAAAACGTAATTAGCGCTAACTGTAGTTAGCGTTAATTACTGTAGTTAAATCCTTAACTGTAATTAGTTAACTACATGACTTAACTGCGTTGCACAAAACGTAGTTAGTCGGATAGTTAACTAATCACGCAGTTAACTGTGCGTGGGGCTTGCGTGGGGCGTTTAAACGGAAAATTACATAAAGTAAGCAGCGAGTAACGACCGCTGACACACATTTTCAACATGATTGTGGACTCGTATTTTGCAAATAGGCGGGAATTTTATTCAAAACACTAGAAAACAGTGAAAAATATACAAGAAAACAAGGAAAAACCGCCACAAAAATCATAAAAGAATGCAGTTTTTCCTTGAGATGTCTACGTTAAACCAAGGTATAGCTGTTTGGCAATTATATATCAGTGTTTCTTGGTGTAATGGACCATACTTCGTCTTCGAGAAATCGTCCTGTGCTAAAATATGTTCTGTTTTCGTAAAAACACCAAAGCGATAGCGTTTGAAGAGTTTATGTTGTCAGGAAACATTCACAGGGAAGATAGCGATTGAAAATCTCAGGTAACCGTTGCTTTTCATTGTTGTTTTACTGAAAAATGTTGTTCACTCCTATACAAACGCCATTTTTAACTACGTTTTGGACAGTTAACTATACCCAAAAGCATAGTTAACTTTAACTACTTTTTAACTGCAGTTAAGGCTAACTACACTTTTATACAACCGGCTTAACTACGTGATTAAAGTTAACCACTTTTTAACTACTTTTTAACTGCAGTTAGCGCTAACTACGTTTTTACACAACCGGCCCCTGATGGTGATTCGAAAGATGCCTAGTGGATTTTGTTGATTTGCTTTACCTTAATTTATATATATATATATATATATATATATATATATATATATATATATATATATATATATATATATATATATATATATATATATATATATATATATCAATAAATAAAGTGTCACAAACTGTCACATAAAATGCAATGAAATTTCTTTCAAGGTTCTATTTGTTTGAAATTGGCAGTTTAAAATGGCACTAAAAACCCAATTTTATAAATATAAAAAACTTAACTGTCTTGAAATATTTTGTCGGGCGGTACATTTATAT